TGGGGTGGCATGCCCTGGGAGTCTGTGCCCTGAAGGGACTGTGCTGGGGCTGTGTTGGGGTGGGCCGGGGCATCGTGCGGGGCCGTGCAGCGTTGGGGTGGTTTGGTTGCTGGCACAGCGGGACGCCCTATGGGACGGGTTGCTGAGGAGCACCGAGCTTGTTGGGTCTGGGGGTGCTTTGGGGTGGCGTGGGGTTGGGGTACCCTGACGAGGGGGAGGAGGTGTGCTGGGGAGCTTAGCTTGGCAAATGGATGCACTGGGGAAAACGGTACCCTAAGTGAAGCACGCGTTGAGAGGATTACAGGGGAGCCCTAGGATGGAAGGGGTATGTGAGGATAATCCGGTGGAGCGTCCTGGGGATATATCCTGGGAGCTGTGGTGACGGCAGAGTGCCGTAGCGGCAAATATACCGGGGAGCGTGGTGAGGTAATGGTGGGGAAGAGGGTGCTTGAAGCTGTGTCGGTGCCTATCGTTAAAATGAGGTTCCTGATCTGTCTGGAAGGCACGTCTGGAGAAAAATTGCGAGGTGGGGTTTGCTGATGCAAGGAGGGGCTGGCACACTTTGAACGGGTTGATGGGGTCCGAGGCAAACTGCAGACTGAGCAGAAAAAGTTGAAGGTAGTTTTTTGGGGGAATGAGCCAGGCTCTGGGAACCTTGAGTTAGAGTTGCTGTGTTCTTGCTTGTCACAGCTGACCAGTGGATGAGAAAGCACTGCCTTCCCGCTGTGCTACAGCAACCCAACCTCCCTGATTTCGCAGAAGCGGATGTCTGACCATCCTGTAGGCATGGCTCACTTGAGGGAATTTGCCAGCCAGGTAAGTGAGGATTAAAGATTTGTTTTAAACTCTTGCATCAAGAGCAGACATAACGCTTCCAGCAGGTAACTTTTTGCCACTGTTTCTCTCTTGCACACGTCTCATTACTCCTGTTAGCTGATTGATTTCTGTCTTATTCCCTGGTGGTGTTTGGCTGACAATGTTAGGTTGCCCCGCTGTAGAGTGAGGGGATTCTTCTTCCAGTGCAGTGCTCCTCTCTGAGGGTAACTCTGCTCTTAGGGAGAGAGAGATCTTTGTCTCTGAGTGTTTTTTTTAGGAGGGCTAGGCTAGAAATGGGATCAGAAAAGCTGCGTTTACAGACTGTGCCAGATGTAGTGTTTTGGCAGCGTTCACAAGAGTAACCTGGGAAGAATAGTGCCTGTAACCCTATGCATGAAGGGTAGCAAAATTTGGTACTGAACACGTCTCTCTTCTGAGAGAGATGTCAGCCCCAGGGGATGTGGTTAACTCCTGTTGTTGTGATGCCATTTTCTTAAGAGGACATGGAAGGATGATGTCGTGACCTGGGACTTAGAACTGAACCACGTTAATAGTATCAGCTTGAATCTTGTTTCTTCTGAAATTGGTTGTGGAGTATGTTTGACTATTGGCAGACGTCAATACTGAATATAGACCCTTTTAAACCATGTTTTAGGAGAATTCTGGCATTTTTCTATTCTGTTCCTAGATGTAGAATTAAACGCTAAAAGCTTTAGTGGTTTGAGATAATGCTTTCTCCAAGCCTTTTCAGCATAACATTGATTTGCAATGCATCTTAGTTTGCATGCTGTCTTTCACATAAACTGTTTCCCCAAACAGTTGTGGAATTAAATGCAAATATAGAACCTGAATGAGTCATAATACAGGGAGAGAAATGAAAGGAATAGGAGAGGATGCTGTTTAGTTAGGACTGGAAAAATTTGAAGTGGCTGAGTTCAGTAGCTACAGAGAAGGTTCCTCTCAAGCTTGTAAATAAGTAGGTAGGAGAGTCGAGCTGAAAGCAGCTGATAAAACCAAGGAAGATAATTGTGAACAGAATAGTAGGGAATTAATGAAACCATTTGTGGATGGATTTATGTAAATACCGACAAGCTGTCGGTTTAGGTGCGATGAGCTTTTTATATACAGCATTCACTGATAAGCTTATCAGAGTTCCAGGGCTCTAAACTCTTAATTTATTATATAAATCTCATGCATTCTCAGATTCTGTCATACCATGACTCTCTGTCTGGTCCTAGAATAGGAAAGCAGTCTGTGTTGTCCGCTCCTTGGATCTCTTCAGGAATCCTGGATGAGACCTTGTAATCTATGCGGTTGAGGCTTGTTGGAGGGCAGTAGGAATTGTGCTGAAGTTCTGCTTACCTAAATTTAGAGAGGTGTTGTGAAGATCAAGAGACTATAGGACTTAGACTGGGATGTCAGAGGCTTGGCTTAGCTTGGATTCCCAGCAGCGCTGACATGCTGGGTTACCTTGGGCAAATCACCAAGTTGTTTTACCTCTGTGCTTTCATTTCCCTGCCTAGGTTGTTTAGGCCTTCTTTTTTTTGATTGCCCTTTGCTGTGTATATGCAGCACAGTGGGTCTCCACTCTTTGCTGGGAGCTCTGTCCGCTAGAAGATGTGTTTGCATTACAGTATTTAAAGCTGTGAGCTGATTTCTGAGTCCAGTTTTGCTGTTCCTTAGGTGACCTTGAGAATGTCTCTCAGGTTCTCTGACTCAGGAATGTTTTGTTGCCTTGAAGCAAAAGACTACTATCTGTGAAGCAATTTGGCAGTCTCAGAAAAATGATTATATTTGTATTTCAAAATGTTATTAACTGGAGGAACTTACCTCCTTAGCTATACTCGACAAGTTCAAAACTGTCTCAGGCGCAGCCATTGAAGAGAGTTGGGTACTACTTTCATATGGACAGGGAAGCTTTCAAATGTTTCCAGGTACAAAGCTGATTTCCCCAGAAAGAACATAGTGCTGCTTCAGACATCTCAGTGGCCCAAAAGTCAGAATGTAGGATGCAATGTGGAGAAGTGCTGGATGGGAAGTTGGAAGGAGAGGAGAGAATGAAGGAAAGAAGGTCAGTAGCTGAGGTCTATTAAAACCAACTTCTTCCTTCAGCTGTGTGTGGCAGAGGAAAATGATATTGATCTGTTTGGCTGGTTGGAAAGTACTGTAGTCAGAAGTGAGAACACTAAATGCTGTTATAGTTCGATATAAATCTTTGGAGACTGCCAAACTCCAAGTCAGCTGCAGTTCTTAATGTGTCCCAGATAGACTTGACATCCTTTTTCTACACCAGACTTCTCCCATACAGGACAGTGACTATGATCCTGACCTGCCCCGGACTAAGAAATTCTCCTTTCCAAATGGGTATAAGCACCTCTTGGTGTTCTGTGCAGCAGATGCAGGTGTGACTCCTGCTCACAACGCTGAACGCAGCTCTTCAAAGAGTGAGCTGGAACAAAGCCAGAAACAGCCCAGAGAGACTATCTTGAGGTGATTCAAAGGTCATTTATTTCTATTCCCAATGTGGAGCTTACCTTTCCAAGTAGTAGCTTTGAAATGAGAGTGGATACTTCCCCCTCTTTAGTCTCTTCCCAGAGCTTGAGGGTGTCATGCCACTCACTGACTGCCTGTCTCTGCAGCTGGAGGTAACCAAGCTGCCAAGCCCTCTCTCTCTCTCCCCATGAAGCAGCTGGTGTGGCTGCCAGGCTTGGCTCGTAACATGCTGTGATTCTTAATTCTTGATGTCTGCGATGAGTTGCTCTGTTTTAAAACATGGCGTCATCAGTCACGGTGGCAAATACCCTCACACCTGTCATGAGAGAGCATCCTTCTTTCCTGCTCTGCTGCTGTGAGACTAGATGCAGGAGGGGAGAAGCGGAGCATTACTAGCAGATTGTCCTCTCCCTCCTTATTTGTTCTCTCCCCTTCCTGCATGTACAACCAAGATAGTGGTTTTTTGTGCTCTCCCACCATAGCTTGTTCATGCCTGACTCTGAGCCATCTCTAGCGCCAGACTGCTCTCGAAGGGGAGAAACAGCATGAGGCCTTTTGCCCCAGAACTGCTGTATAATTGCCATTCACTCAAGCAGAAAAGTGCAACGAGGTGAACGTCCTTAAAGGCTTTATGAGTTGCAGTAGGACGGGGCAGCAGCAGGTCAGCTAGCTCTTCTGACTGTGGTCTGGAGCTCCGTTTTGCGGCCCTGGTGGGCTCTGTGAGCGTGAAGGAAATGGAAAGATCCCAAGCTGGTAAGCTCTTGCAGAGCTGCCAGGTGCTAATAAGTTTCTTTAGGCTGGCAAGCTCACTTATGTGGGTGTGAAGCATTTCATCTGGAGTCTATTACTTTCTCCTAACAAAGTTTGTCTGATCTGCTTGTGGCTATGCAACTCTAAAACATGGATTTGGAACCAGGGCAATTCATTGACGATAAGACTGGCACTGAGATCACTTGGTGTGCAGAAAAGGGACAGATCCTGCTCTTTGCACTCCTCATTGCGGTGTTCAGCAGATGCAAATTTATTGGGGTGGGGGAGAACTGGGCTACACAGAGCATGTTATTTTCCTCCCCTCCCCTTCCCCGCGTTAATACCCCGAGCACGGCAGTGTGCTTTTGCTCTTTTGACAGAGCTGTGCACTTGCATAGCCGCATATTCCTGGCATGACTGGATCTGTTCTGCTGCCTGATTGAGTGCTAAGGGTTGTAAACCCACAGATCTGAACCTTTGCTCATCCATGCTGAGTTACAGCATGGCAGCTCAAACAGGAACTGTTTTTAATAGACGAGAGCTTCTGAACAGGTATCCTGTGGTTTAGCATAACTTTATCTATTTTGCTTTCATTTAGTTTAGTGGAAAGTCAGGATTGCTCCCACCAAAATGCTACCTGGTAAGGTCTTCTGTGGTGCCCACAATGTGCAGTTTCCTTCCTTGCTGAGCCAGGTGCCCCAGGGAGACAGTCCTCTTTCTCTTCTTCCTTCTCCCTGATGTGTGGAGTGGCTGGCGTAACGAGTGGTTGACGGCGGTGTCTACCCAAGGAAAGTTCTGGGCCACCTTGCTTTAAGTTGGTCCAGATGTGGAAACCTCTCTTGGCCTTTTGTGAGTCTGGATCGGCCAGACGGTTGTTCTCTCCTCTGCTACAGTCATCATTCTCGTGTTGTCTCCTGGCATTTCTCAAGTTCAAATCTTCTTCCTTCCCTTCCCCTGCTCCAGTCCATGCTATGTCTCCAGTTCTTTCCATCGCTGCGTTTCCCCTTCAGCTTGTTTCCAGCGTGTTTGTTCAAAGTAGAGCCTGTTTGGGTGTTGCCATGGATGCACAGGGATATTTGGTTATCCTTCTGTATCTTGAATTGGCATGCACATGGAAATCCTGTTGAGTGCGCCAAGTGTAAAGCTTGTCCTTGTCTTGGCCTGGCTTACACCATACAGTGATGTTTTGGGCACAAAAGGCAAACAACCTGTAATGACTGCTTGGCTTAATCATTAAGCAGCACCTAGTGCTGCTGAGTGATGGCCTGCTGCTAGAACCTGGTGTTAGATGGAAAAATGCAGCCGCCCTGTTCTCAGATAAAATCTCTGCTCAGCTCAAGGTCCTTGCAAGGGAGTGGTCCCTCTGGATGACACGTCTAAGGTGGGACTGAGAAGCTCTGGGTGTGGAAAACTTACTGTAACAGCTTGGCCACTTCCTGTAGGTCAGACTATTCTTTTCTAGGTTTTTTTTTTTAAAACTAACTTTAAAGAAAGGCAGAAGAAGTAATCATGAAGAATGAAGAGCCTTTTAATAGCACAGAGCAGAGTAGGACCTCTGGGTCTGCAGCTGGGCAGAATGAAACTGCATCAGAAAATAATTCTGGCTTCTTTCCTTTCCCATCCACATTCTTCTTAAGAAAGTGTTAGTTTTGAAGCCTGACTGCTGTTAGAAAGTCAGTATTTCTCAGAAGATCACCATGTTTATAGCTTCCCAGTTGGTGTATTTATCTAATGAGGGTATTGCTGTTTGCTTTTGTATCTGGCTATGCCAGTCAGAGAAGCTGTTCCAGAAGAGCGAGTCTGTAGATGGAGTGTCCGTTCAGGTCTTCTGTCTCCTCTGGGATAGTCAGGTATCTGGGCTTCTTGCTGCTGACCTTCTGAAAGATGGGAGGCTCCGTGTGCAAACATCTGAAGGGTGCTGGGCTGGATGCAGCCGGGAAATCAGGCTGCGGAAGAACAGACAGCAAATGTGGATTGGTGTTTATGTTAGCAAGTATTTCACCGCCTGAACAAGTAGGGAAGAGAGCAAATGTACTACACTGTAAAATCTTTGCAGGCAGGAGAGGGACTGGAGAAACAACCCTGTGAAGTGTGGTGGCCTCTTCTTTGTTCCCCTTTGCTTCACTCTGCTGTTTAAAAGATAGCTAGTTTGGAGACACTTTGCCTGCCTTTCTGTTTAAGTGTGAACAAGTGCTTGCTAATCAAGCTGCTTTGGCATTAGTTTGGTGCCTACAATTGTGCTCCAGATCAAATCTGTCCTGTCCTAAAGGAACTGACCCTTTCTTTAGGGATGCTTGTTGGCATCTTCCTTTCCAGCGTCTCTGTCCTTCTTCCCTCGCCAAGGTCTGCAGGGACAGAGAGCCAGGGTAAAAGGTTTCTTCGCTTCTCATCTTGGGTCTGTTCTGTGCTAAGTTTCTCAGCATGTGGAAACCATTTAGGATATATGAAGTTCAGGTGGATTAAACAACAGAGTAGGTACATAGAGAAGGAGTTAAGATGAAAATGATGTTGTCTGGGTATGCATGGTGCTCTGCCAGCTGCTCTGTGACTTACTGATTTTCTTCTTCTCTGCCTTCTGGTTTAGCACTCTAGGGTGGACCCTGAGGAGCTGTTCACCAAGCTGGAACGGATCGGCAAAGGATCCTTTGGCGAAGTGTATAAAGGGATAGACAACCGCACCAAGGAAGTGGTTGCCATCAAGATCATTGATCTGGAGGAGGCCGAGGATGAAATTGAGGACATTCAGCAG